AATCTGAAAGGTAGATTGAGGTATGCAGAAGCTTTTTTAAAAACTGTTTTTTATTGTAAAGCAGTTGCTTGCCCAGGCTCCCTGTCAATTCTAGGATCTGCCCTGTTTTTGTTCTACACAGTTGTTACAGAGGGAGTCTATTAGTCATAACAATCAAATGAACCTCCATATGCCAAGACAGTGTAACTCTGAATACTTGGGGCAAGCAGCAGAAGAGGGCTGTTGCCTCAGTGCCCAGTTTGAGGGCTTATTTATGCATCTGACTGACTGCTAATGGAAACTGGATGTTGGAAGAGATGGATTATTGGTCTGAACCAGCAGGCCTTTTTATATTCCTCTGAAGGAGTTTTTTTATTTGATTTTGTTTAAGGCTATTTATAGAAGGGCTGCACTTTCTCAGTCTTCTGTCCCACACAGGTTATCTGAAAACTTGGCTCCTGTCATTAAAAGCCTTCTCAGTCGTTTCCCCCCTCGCTGCATTTGCTTCATTTCTTAAAATGTTTCCAGCTTTGGAAAGCTTGGGTTTCAAAATCTTCGCTCTCCCAGCTACATTTCAGTGTTTGTCATAATGTTCACAGTTTTTTGTAATAAGATCATTCAGGTTATCTTTATTGCCCCTCTGAACTTCATTCTTGGTTTCAAGAATTTGTTCACTCTATTTTTAAGTTAGCCTCAGAGTTTTTCCACAGTGATGTCCAGGACAGAAAATGTCAACGGCAGATCTGTGTGAAAAGGTGCCTGTTTCTGTCAAGCAGTTACTGCTTTTCTCCCCTCAGCTCGACCCCTGCTTTGAGCATGCATTGGCCTCTGTCTGTGTCTTCAGGAAGGAGAAGGGCTTTGGCCTATATTTGAGAACACTGTTCTCTCTAAGGAACTTGGCAGTTCTGGAACCACATGAAAGCTATTAGCATCAATCCCCTTGGTAGGGTTTGTGGTGAACTTTGACTGCTGTAATGACTTCTGTATTACAACAAAGGCAACATTTTTGTAACATGCTTCTAATCTTTGATAGTTGAGAAGAGGAGCAGAGACCACGTGCTGCTGCTTTTAACATCCCTGTCAGTTGCTGGTTACAACTAACCTACAAAGGCTATAAAGTATGTGAAATATTTGCCTCAAACTGTGCCACCTACAATAAAGGGGTGGTACATTCATGAAATTTGTTTAGGGTTTCATTAAAATTGCGTTAAGGTTAACCCCCACTTTAAAGAAAGTAGGGGAGAAACATTCCACATCCAACATACTGAGGGGATTTAAAGGCCCCCAATATACTCTCAGTGTAAATAACTACTATATGTGCTATGTACCATATGTACATATGTGCATATATGTACTATATGCAGCAATTAAGATGAGATGTAACCCCAAATAGTATTGTAGGGGTTTTATTAATATATAAAGTTGATTTTCAGTTTGGGGAAAGGAATCATCAGGGATTTGAGACCCCATTGGGCATCATTATCAACTCCATAAATAATCTCTGTACTATAAACCATAATCTCTTAATATAATTTTATTTTTACATTAAACTGGAATCATTATCAAATGCATTGCATTTGAATCAGCATATAAGTAAGGTGTTTTGGGTCTATCTTTTTTGCAAGCATAAGGAAGTTGAACTAGCAAGCCTAGACTTAGCTAAAAGGTAAAGGTAAAGGACCCCATTCAGTAAATATTATTGTCCTCCTATGGCTTTGAACGATATGCAGCGTTGGTCAGCATTGGTAGCAATCACTTAGCAAAGAATTGTGAAATATAGCCTTTGTGAAAAATATAATGGTTTGTGTAATGATCAGAAACCTGGGTTACTGTCAAAATATGTTCCTGTATTGATTTATAGGTGATGGAGATTAGTCTTAAAAAGTCAAATTCATAGCAGCTTTGTGATCTGTGCAGCCAGACCATTCCTTATTCTTAAATTAGTATAAAAAGCATACCAGTCTCTTTCATTTAATGGGGAAAATAACAGATCTAGAACAGGGAGAACATCGAGCATGTTAAGAAGTTTACTCCATCACTTTGGGGCCACCGTAGTTACCTCTGAAACTGAAATTTAGCAGCTCACTGGTGAGCAGAGGCCGGCAACAAGAAGCACTGGTAGGGCTGAGATCTATTGTTTCTAAGTGGTTGCAGGGCTGTCCAGGTGTCCTGATTTAAAAGCTGCTCCTTGAGACAGGAAATTGTATCTTGTTCTGAGGTTTACTGTAATAAAGTACATAGTCCTGAGGGATGGCGCTGCTGGGTCCATGAATCACTTTATGGGCAGGCTGCTCTGACCTCGGCCCAGTGATTTATTCATATCATTCCGCAGCAGGAATGGGAGAAATGTGACCAGCAAATGGTCTTGCTCCATGGATGAGCCTTTAACTAGGAGACCAATATATATCCTTGAAGCCAGATCCAAGATGCCTTTGCAGTATGCCTTGGGAATCTGTTAACAGGGGAATTCCTCAGATTTCCTGAATGTGCTTTGTGATCTGTCGGGATCTGAATGGCTTGCTTAAAAAAGTAAAGGCTACAGACTGCTGTAAACACACTTAACTAGGGAGTTAAGCCTTAGGACTTATTTCTTAGTTAACTTAACACAGGGTTGTATTGTTAGAGAAAAATCAGTACATTTCAAGTGCAGGGCTCCCAGTAATTCACTCTCAACTTCCTGCCCAGGAATTATTTTGCACAATGCTTGTGCTGCTACTGTTTTGTACAAGTCGAATAATGTGATGGTAGAGTTCTGATAGTAGAATAAATCTGCAGTTCATAGAACTTACAGTTGTCAGCGATAGGATAAGGACTTAAATCAGGGGTAGGCAACCTAAGGTCCGTGGGCTGGATGCGGCCCAATCGCCTTCTCAATCTGGCCTGTGGACAGTCCAAGAATCAGCATGTTTTTACATGAGTAGAATGTGTGCTTTTATTTAAAATGCATCTCTGGGCTATTTGTGGGGCATAGGAATTCATTCATATATTTTTTCAAAATATAGTCCAGCCCATCACATGGTCTGAGGGATGGTGGACCGGCCCATGGCTAAAAAGGTTGCTGACCCCTGACTTAAATTATTAAAATAATTTACTCATTGAAAAACCTGTCCAAAACTGCATACCTAGTGTTTATTCATTAGTCATCTGTTGATGACAGCAACTTTGAGTGATTACTTACACCTGTGAAACTGCTGTCACAGATCAAATATTATAGACAGAGCTTTCATATTCCTTAACTAGCACCAGCTGAAACACATTGCTTTCAGTGACAGCAGTTGATGCTTTCAACTGCTAATCATCACGTGGCAAAATATCATCAAATGGCATGTATCCATGTGTGGATCTGCCCAGATTAATATAAGAATAGACAGTAACTTTTCAAGTGCAATATGCATTACATGATAGCTTTCTGTGTGTGGCTGGACTATGTGTACACTTGTTATCTTTTCCTGCCAATTCTAGCATGTTTTCCCTCCCTTTCTTTTGTGCTTGTCAAATTCCTAGTTCATAGTTGGTATCATACACCCCAAGATTGGCATTCTTTTAATTATACAAAGTAATTTACACTTACATTCATACATACAACAAGCCTAGGATAATGACTTTCATATAGGGTTACATATTGGTCTGAGAGGACAAGCTAATGCTTTTTTGCCATATACCTGTCTTAAGATCTAGAGTGGGTTATAGCTTTAAATCAGGGATGGCCAAACTGTGTGGCTCTCCAAATGTTGTTGGGCTACAACTCCTATGATTCTTGGCCACATTGGCTAACACCATCATGAGGGTCACACATTAGCTAATCTTGCTATAAATAATTTCAAGTATAAAACCAATAAAGGAATATCACATTTGGACCAGCATCCTTTAGTTAAATAATGTGAAAGGTAGTACTTAGGAAGAGAACTACAGTACAGTGGTAACTCGGGTTAAGAACTTAATTCGTTCCTGAGGTCCGTTCTGAACCTGAAACTGTTCTTAACCTGAGGTACCACTTTAGCTAATGGGGCCTCCTGCTGCCACCATGCTGCCGCCGCCGCACAATTTCTGTTCTCATCCTGAAGCAAAGTTCTTAACCCGAGGTACTATTTCTGGGTTAGTAGAGTCTGTAACCTGAAGGGTCTGTAACCCGAGGTACCACTGTACCAGCTGACAGCTTGCATGTTTATATCGTGGAAATAGGAACAATCTTTTTTTATTTTAAAAAAATGACAAAAGTTGGCCTGAATCATTAGACACTGTGTTGGGGATATAGTGACTAAGGTGCTGGGGTGGCGATTAAGGCATTCATTATCTCTTGTCTTAGCCCTGAGCAGTGATTCTATACTCTGAGAATCTTGCAAGAAGAAATGAGGATCAAAACATTGTAACTATGGGAAAGCAAATATTGATTTATTTTATATTATACAGAATTTCTATAGAGATGTTGAGAATAAAAGCTGAGTCATGTGACCACATTATTACCTTTATTGTGGGGAATTTTTCTACTTAAGGCCTAGCTGCATATTGTACCGGGGGGAGGGGGAGTAGTTTGAAATGTATTGAGTTCACACCTTGAACTAAGGACTGATTGCAAACTTCTACACGGACGATTTGGGTTTATATTATCCATTTAGAATGCAGGTAGAGGTGGATAATTTGCAATTTGGAGAGGTCTCCCAGGCCTGGCTCCTGTTTTGACAGCCCCTTCAGCAAAGCATCCTCCAGTGGCCTCTCTTCTGTGTCATGGGGACACAGGCAGACACAGACTGGAGGTAACAGCAAACAGCGCCAGCCACACCCCAATAAGTGGTAGGTGGCTGTGTCTGGGAGCCACCTTCATTTAAATTCCCCACATAACACCACTCTTGGTCATTGCATTGATCTAGCAACTTGGCATTCATATGACAATCATTTTTAAAAGCATGATTTTAAAGGGGGACTTTGGGCAGGTGGCAATAATAAACTTAAAAACTTGACCAGGTACAATTAGATGTTGTTGAATGTACGTGCAATTAAGCCGTTCGCCTGTTCTTTTTCAGGCAAGAAGCCCTTCTAGCTGCCATTAGTGAAAAAGATGCCAATATTGCTCTGCTGGAGCTGTCGTCCTCCAAGAAAAAAACCCAAGATGAAGTAGCTGCACTTAAACGAGAGAAAGACCGCTTGGTGCAACAGCTGAAGCAACAGGTATGAGAATATTGTTTGATTCAATATGTGAGTCTGCCATGCAATTTGCAGCTTGCCTTAGGCAAATCCCCTCGGCTACTACCTACTTCCTCACATGTCATGCCTTCCCCAAACTGAAAGCTACAATAGCACTTTAATATTTTTTCCAGCTATGAGGGCTGACTCTCTTACTTTCTCAAAAAGAGAAAACGCCAAAGGTTAAAGGCAACCAGTTTCTGGTGGGGTTAGGAATCTCTCCTATAAATAGTTATGTGCAAGACTGAAGTAAGTCCTACACATTAAAAATCGTTGATCATTCTATTTTTCTATGATATGAAACAAGTGCCTGGAGTCCACTTGGGCTGTATGAGGACTAATAAACTGAAAGCTAAATCCAAATAAGACAGAGCTGCTCTGTGTGAATGGCCTGTCAATCCAGACAAAGTAGCATTGATCTTGTTCTGGATGGAATCTCAGTCCATGTTACAGCTTGGGCTGGATTAAAATGGGTTTAGATAAGCGGTTTATTCCATGTGTGCCTGGGACTGAATAGGAGCATCGTGTCTGTAAGTGACAGCTTAGCTTCCATGGAGGAATAAGAAAGTGCTTATTACCTGTAGTAACTCTAGGAACATCAGAAACCCAGCCTTATTTTCTGTAAGAAGTCCCACAAGTTATTTTGAGAGAGTTATAGGCATGCAGGCCTATTATTAAGATGCTATCCTAGATTAGTAGATAACAAAGCTTATTGTCAGAAAAATTCATGTACAATTTATGAGACATATGCTCTCTTCCTCCTTTTTCTAGCTAACACAAACATGGGAGAACTGTTTGAAGGAAAATTGATACTTCTGAAAAGCTATAGAAGTCACTTAAACTATTCTTGGTGATTTTTAGCTAAGTAATTCATTTGCCAGATAGTTAGCAGCAACTCCCATCTTTGGACAGCCACTTTTGGGCCCCCAGCCATCACCACCACCACCACCATTTACTTCACTTTCACTCCTATTACAACTAAATTACTCTGTTGCCAAAGGCAGCAAATTGGAGCCAAAAAGCCTTTCCACCAAAGGTTTCTTCTGAAGCACCGGTACTCTGGTAGCAGTGGTTTTTCACTTAACATTTAATATTGAAATAAAATGTTTAATGTTTGCTCAATTAAGTTCTTTTTCCGATAGTTAAAACCAACATTAAAACAGGTCAGAAATCAACTTTACAGTTTTTGTAATATTCAGCTTTACTGGAAGAGTAATAAATACTGTCACTTTGCAGCAAGATGGCCATTCACCAACAAAAGGCTTTGATACACAGACTTTAATGTAAAATACATATTTTCATTTCACCATGCTGATAAAATGCTTCTTGGCATTTGACATTTGACATCCATCCTAAACAATATGAGGAGAGGAAAGAATTCTAGTATTATGAGAATCTATGATCCTGCAGGCTTGATGCAAAAACCCAAGTAAAAGCCTTGAGAGTATTTTCCTATCATGAGCTTCTTAGGTTTTTATCCTGAAGAATGTGAGATTTGTAACTCTCACAGAAAATACTTTTTAATAAACAGGTGTCTCCTGAAAACCTCCTTTTATGTGGTGTTTTTGGCTGCCCTTCTATCAGTTGAATAACCTGTTCAGCATAGCATTATAGTTCCATTTTTATAGATTGAAGAACAGTTAAAATCCAAATCATATACGTAGTAGGTAACTTTCTAAACCCCTTAAAGCATTTTGTAAGCATCAGTATCATTCTGCTTAATACATTCCACTTGAGATGTGGCTAACGGCAATGGGGACAGGACAAGCTCTGTCTCATTTTCTAACCACCATGAAAGCAAAAACTGAAGACATCTGTCTATGGAGGACCAACACAATATATTTTGTTGCACAAGGCAAAGTACAAGATGGCATCTCCTTCGATTCCATGTACAAAAGCCAAGTGGGCTTGCAATTGGCTCTTACATCAACACTGGTGACAGGATAACATCCTCCACCAGACCAGAAGCAGCAGACCAGATTAGAAGGCCCAAGAGACAGGCCACTTGGCAACAAAGTTATTAAATAGTTTGGCAGAAATAAAAACCGAGTTCAGGTTTTTCATCTGGCAGCGTGGGCTAGGACAGCATCTAGATTCCTCTCTCAAATCCAGCTCTTTGACATCTAATTTATCTTACAACTTAGCATAGAATAAAGTTCACAAAGAAGTCAACTGGAGTTTTCCAGAAACTCTGTAGCCACACTAACCTTTGGGTTAGAGTACAGAAGCAAAATTACTCTTCTATCCCAGATGAATGGTAAGTAGCCAGTGTAACATCAACATTTTCAGAATTAGTTCTGTGAAATGTAGACTTCTTGTTATAACTTCTGTTACCCAATAGGAAGGTAGGTTCCATGTTGGAGATTCAGTTTTGCTGTGTAAAGGGGAGTTCATGCCTCATGAATCTGTTAATCTCTCCCCAGCAACCCCTAAGGAAAAAAGGCAACCAGGGATGAGAGCATATCATCTCAGAAACTGGTTAAAATATTAAGAGCCAAGAGTATTCATTAATTAAACAAATAATAAAAATTAATGAGTAAAACAATGTATTTCTCAAACTATGAACAATGTAAAGTGTGGATCATGAACAAACTTAATTTTTGCAAAAAAACACAACAAAACTAGAAAACTCAGTATGGTAGCAGCAGAAGGAAATTAACTCATAACATGACTAGCCTCTGCAAGAGTGTTTCAGTCATCAGAATGCATACAAAAAGTTTGATTGAACAACTTAGATTCAGCAACTAAATAATGACTACCTATTTTGTAGCATTCTGTGATGATTCCTTCAGTTTCCCTATTTGCATTCCTCACACAGTATCAGATTCCCACCCACTCAACTAGCAAATTGGTTACTGTTAAAGAGAAGGGAAGAGTTTTGGCAAAGACATTCTGGTTCTTTAATTTCTCTGTGTGCTTGTGTTTAACTTTGGATGAGGAGAAGTATTTCAGAAAGAGGATATGGTATTAGTGTTGTTTTAATTTAAAGTTCCTAGTCTTTTAGTAGCAGGAATGGGTTTTAATATAGAGACAAATTCATAGCAAAATGCTTAGCATTGACCAGGCCATTCCAGTAAACTGAGCTGCCTGTTCCAGATTGACTTTCAGTGTTCATGCTGTATTTCCTGTATCACTGAAAGGATGAAGTGCAACTGTCACCATATATTCTGGCCACAGTTTAACTACCCCCTCCCAGTAATTTTTCTTAACTGGTTCCTGGTGCCATACTGGTTGTGGGGGCTCTGTTTGGAGTTGGGAGGGTGAGTAGCATAGCTTCTGGAAAGCAGTACTGTTTAACAAAGTCCAGATGTGCTGATGAGTGCAAGCTGGTACACTTGGATTAGAAGTTATAGTTGAGCCCTGCTATATGTGTGGTGAGGCACTCATTGTGGAATTAATGTAAATCTAAATAACTTGGCCTGCTTATGTACAGTTTATCTACCAGATATGTGTCACAACATAGTTCTCAAATCATTAGATGCTGATTATAGTTTATCACCATGTAAAGTGCTGGTCTGCAGCTTAGCTTTGTCAGTAGAAGCCATGGGGAGATAGATTTTCCTGTGATGTCTTTAGTGCTTTAGATTTCTGAGGTTTCCCAGCAGAAGCTCTTCAAGACAAAAGCTGTCACTTGCCCCTATCTGCATGCTAGTTGATATTTAAAGAATTCTCGTAGCAGTGAGGCAAGCCTTTCTTAGGAAGGGATGTGGAACACAAGCACACTGATGAATCAACCCCAATGAATCACAGCCAGTGTGGTGTAATGGTTAAGAGCCGTAGTCTTGTAATCTGGGGAACCAGGTTCGCGTCTCCGCTCCTCCACATGCAGCTGCTGGGTGATCTTGGGCCAGTCACACTTCTTTGAAGTCTCTCAGCCCCACTCACCTCACAGAGTGTTTGTTGTGGGGGAGGAAGGGAAAGGAGAATGTTAGCTGCTTTGAGACTCCTTAAAGGGAGTGAAAGGTGGGATATCAAATCCAAACTCTTCTTCCTCTTCTTCAATGGATGTGTTTGGGGCAATAATAGTATATAATAATAATAATTTATTATTTATACCCCACCCATCTGGCTGGGTTTCCCCAGCCACTCTGGGCAGCTTCCAACACAAGGGTTGAGCATCCATAGCTTGAGGACATCTGGACCTCCCCAAAGAGTATATTGCTTACTCCAAGTTTCAAATGATGGAACTTCTCATAAGCAATATTAGCATAGGTTCAAAACATAATCCCAAATATGAACAATGGCAATGGAAAATAAGAATATAACTGCACTGTTTTTAGGCAGATGGCAATTGATCTTATAGGGGGAGATGGTCTGGCTTCAGAAAACAGTCTCCAACTCAGAAGAGCTTCACCAAAAAGAACTTCAACTCTCTGCTGCCAATAAGGTTTTTCTGTCTCATATTTGACTTGCGAGCACCACCTGTGCTCTCTTAGACTATGTTTTCACACCATTAACTTTAAGTCTTTTATAAAAAGTTTTTTTTTTAAAGTCAACAAAGTTACAGACAGGACAGCTGGAAGTAACTGTACCAATGACCAGGGCTGATCTATTTTTCAGCAGTTGAACTAATCATTACATATAGCCACTGTCTAAAGCAGTGGTTATTTTCCTATAGAGCAGTGTGCTGTGGCACCCTGGGGTGCCTTGAATGATGGTTGGGGTGCTGCAGGCAATATTGGCTTTTGCCCACTTTCCTTCCCTCCCTCCTCTGATGCCCTCTCATGTCTCTGCCTCCCAAAGGCTTGCACAGCTGTTTGTTGCTGCAGCCCTGACTGCAAGCTCCATGGGTGAATGTTGCCTCTGGGGTTGCTGGTTGCCAGGAGCCAAGGTAACCTCAGAGTAAGCAAGCAAGCAAGCAGGTGAGGGAGCCCAGCCAGCCAGTCCTCTAGCCCTTGATGTTGGGAATGGATAGACAAGTCCCAGGCCCCTATGGGACTGTGTGAAGAGGCATCTCTTTGGGGCAGGGGGGGTAGATCACAGAC